AAGCACAATAGCACGGCAAACACTTAAAAAACGGTCCCAACTTGATAGCATCAAACCACGCGATTCTTGTCCGTTCAGATACCACACGTCCAGCTCAATGAGCGCATCAATCAACGCGGTAAACATTTCATTAAGTAACGACTTGGTCATCGCGCAATTATGTAAAACACGCAATACGCGGGTAAATAAATATTCCAAAAAGTGCTGAAGTTCTTTAGGTTGTGATAAACCTGCACCAATCGTCAAAAAGCCATGGACCACAAGGTGCAAGTTGCTCTCCAGTTTGTTTAAGCTACGGGAATATCTGCTTAGTGTTCCATTCGCTGTAGCAGAACATCGTAACCAACTTATAACCTTTTCTTGATACATCCCAAAAACATCATTGTCATTAATTAGATGAGCCTTTAGATCACGTAGACAGTTTGTCAATGGATGACTAAGTTCCAGTCCAATGGTTTCTCTCACACTTGTTGGCTGAAGTCTTTCCTGAAGAAATTCAATCCTCGGCCACTCTTTCGTACTTGGACATCGTAACACAATTTGGGCGCCATTACTCACCACTGAATCTTTGACTGTCTCCTTTCTATATTGAAGCGTAGTAAGCAGCTTTCGTTGTGGTATCCAATGTGTCATAATCATTGTAGTAATTAAGCTCAAGTCAATCCATGTTAAAAATCCTGTAATGGGGTGTTGTGGATGCACTTGGAATCTTGTGTGTAATAGAAAAAGTAGACAGGCATATTTACAGGCTAGTGACTCGGAGAGAACAAAGAGCTCACTTATGATACGACATGGAAGGCCAGTAAAGTTGCGATCTTCTATAGCAGCGTATACACGTCGTAAATTCTCTAATTGTCGTCGACAACTTTTAAGTGTACGACCTGAATGCTCCGCAACGCCGTCTAGATCTTTTTCCAGACGCATAGAGAATTTTTTCCCCAATAGCCACCGGTCAACGTCTGTATCACGTGTATAATAGCATTCTACCATATATTGTTGCTGTAATGGCGGAATTTGGAACAGAAGCTGGGAGCGGAAAAGACTTGGCTGGGAGAGATAGTGTTCTAGTTTATCGTAAAGGCGATATTGGTCCACTGTATCACGCCATAGAAGTTCTCGCAGTTTGGCGGCTGCGTCTCCACCTAAAAAAGGCATAGACACGGGCGAAGGGAGCTGAAGTCGTGCAATTAATGCTTCACTCGTGTTATGGCCTTCAAGCCATAAAGCGAAAACGTCTTCGTTGACACAGATCGGATCAGTTAAAAACGCCTCGAATACCTCGCGCATCTTAGATCTCAGATGTTAAAGAAAAATAGACGATCAAAATTGGATATAATACAAAATAAACTTAGATTTCTATATTTCTCATACTGAGGATATGCTCTGTACTGAGCTACAAGAAGAGTAAATCTCGTCTTTTTTGCCATCTCACATTAAGGAACTGTATCGAATGATGCTGAGTCAACTAAAGGCTATTGCCTACTTGCGCCGCAGATAAAATTGGTTGCGAACTTGATACGGACATAAATGGTGGTCGTACCACACCTGCTCTCCTATCTAGAGGTAAGCGCAAGCACTTACCCATTTCATGGAAGATCTACTTCACACCCAAAGGCGTATAGATTAAAGAATGGATTTCCAACAGAAGTGCTGCATCGGGTTACTGTGAATCTTGTACACAGAGGAAGCTTTGACTCGCGCTTACTAACGCAGAGAAGAAGGGGCTGGAAGCTCCACTCATGAGAGGAGAAAAGAAATTAAGAATTCGTTTGCGCTTTTGAATTCAAGGGTAGCATGCATACAGAAATCAGACCTTACTCTATTCTTCACGAAGTAGCATCGCCATCATCATAACCAGTACTTTCGCACTTTTGAGTTTTCTACAAAAATGTAAAGTGTACGTTCGTCATAATACGATACGCAACCCTTGATAACCTCTCAAGACCATACTAAAGCTTACACGTCTTATTTTCACACCTTAGTCACAAGCGCGCGCTCAAAAAAGCCCTCAATGCGCATGAAGTTAAACTTCACCGCTAGCACATTTCTGTAGGAGGGCGCTGGTCTCTCAAACACAACACACGCACTTGTGCAACTAGGAGTGATTTCCGACGTGCAGGGAGAAGGACAGTCCTGACGTGAGAAAAGATGCACGACTTAACTTAGAGGTAAATTGGCAGCTGAAAAATCGAGATTTGGTTACTAGCTACATGCAAAATATCCCATGGGCTCTCAGAGATGTCACTAGTTAAACCTTGGATTGCTAAATTTTAACTCCAATGTGTACTGAGGTTGATCCTCAGCTTCAACTTTTGGAATATCGTGGCTATATGGAGCTTGACTTCGAAAAGCTCAGCTTTCCACTTTCGTGGGATGCTTATGCCGCCTATTTTGATAGACAGAGAACGTCGGTCTCGTCACCAGTACAGTTCCTTAAGTTAGAACTAGCATCCTGGAACACAAAAAATGTTTGTGATTTCATATAAGGTGTCACGTATGCATTTGGGAGCACCATACTATGTTATTTATTCCCAAAATGCAAACAGAAGGTACATCTATGAACCTTCGATTAATGGCTGTGAAAAGTCCATTGTACTTTATACTGAATCACTAATGAGTTTAATAGAATGGCGGGTGGAAGACGTAAACACAGCACTATTTAATTAATCGCTCATCGAATACAACCCGACCCGACTTCACGCCATATGAGTTGGCTTTCAAGATGATACCTTGAATAATGGATCACTTACGCGTGTTCGGGTCGCAGATGTACGCTGCTGTTTACGATGCAGGAGAACAAAGTTCGAAGACGAGTTCAAATGTATCTCTCTCGCCTATGCGAGGAATGTCAAGGGTTATCGCGTGTTTGACTTCGGAAATGACAAGATTAAAGTCACTCGCTCTATGAGGTTAATTAAGTGTGAAGTAGGACACGCATACTCTACAGTAAGAAGCGACCATCGAACTTT